ATCAGCCAAATGTAGTCAACTTATTGTATTAGTATGTGTAGCCTCTGTTACTGGACAATAGTGTACAGCTACGGGTTGGACATATTAAAAAAATGCGGAAGATTTATCATCACGAGTTGTATAGGTCGAAGAGCTTCTTGTAGCCAACAATTTACCCTACAGTTTTGCTTCAGCACAGAAACTATGCGATGAATCATAAATTGCAAACATATTTTTTTACACGTTTTTTGTTTTGTTTTTGATGTCTCAGAAAATTTACTATATTTTTAATGGGTTCATAAAAGGAGTTGTAGTCATTGATGTCTATTGACACCGCTGCTAAACTGCCACTGTATGTATATTATTTTACCATCCTCTAAAAACAGATTTACAGTGAACCAAATATATTTACATACTGTAAGAAACTTGGTAGTATGCCATTGGTTAGTGCATTTAATTTGTTTGATGCAAGCATTGTGCCAACTATTTCTTATGCTAGCGATATGGGGGTACGTAAATTCGGAAATCGAGATGGTACAGATAACATTTTGCAGATATCTACTTAGCGTGAATAGTTGTACTAACAATGTAGCGATGTTAGACGAATGTGGAAGGCTGCCATTGTGCTGTGGTTATTTCAAGCGTTGTATCTCATATTGGTTAAAATTACTGAAACCCCAAAACATAATATATCATGCTTAAACGATTAGACAAGACCGGCAGACTTGCTTGGGAAACCCACATAGAAATCTCCTGTTCAAATATGGTTTCGGCATTGTCTGGTTTGAAAAACAAGTTGGAGATACTGCAAATTTCTTAGGTATTTTTACTCAAAGAATAAAAAAATAGTGGCATGCCTCAATTTAACATTCATCCAAGCTGTGTACTTTTGGAAAATCAAAGTAGTATTATAACCAGGGAGATTTATTGGCAAGCAATTATAGACTAAAATATATACTGACGAGTTTACACTGTTTTGGCCATAAACATAATAATAATAATAATAACTTTATTACACTACTAAAAAACCTTCAGAGGGTTTTTGTATGGTAAGGAACATAAATACATACAATACATAAGAGATAAATAATAAAATGTTAGTAAAATAAAATAAATTAATTACTTTCTGTGGTTTTAAAAATTGTGCTCTTTAAGTATTTTGCTAAAGCTATATTATTCTCCATAATCTTTTTAAATATGGAATTCACATCCATTGTGTAAATATTTATTGAACACTCATCAAACAGTTTTTTTCTTTGTTCTATATAGCCAGTACAAAATAGCAGGAAATGTTTTTCATCTCCTAATGCTTTAGTGTTACATTTATTACAGTGTCTATTTTCTAATTCTATTTTGGGCTTTGTTCTTCTACCTAATTCTATTTCTAAGTTGTGGTCACTCAGACGGAATTTTGAAAGCATTTTCCTGAGACTGAAATTTGAAATGTTTTGCAAATAATTTTCCATATTATAGCTTACTTTGAATAGTTTGTATGTTCTCAGTTTTGTTCCCCTATTTTCATTGGTTTCACTGAAATTTAGTTTTTCTCTCCATCTTTGAATATAAAACTCAGATAGTCTGAGTTTTACTTTTTTTAGTATTTGATTCCAATTTTCCATATTGTGATATATAGCGCCCTCTATCGACAGTCTGTGATTAGGGATTACAAAGCTATGAAATGTCCCTCTGTACCGAGCGATGACAACATGACTTTATATCACAGATACAATGGCACTGATCTGAGCACTATGCTTTTGAAGGTAAATATTGAAATTTAGG